ATGTTAAAAAAAATGGAATTTTTGGAACTAGGGGAACTCAATGGCGTAGCTAGTAAAAGGCAAGTAAAGTCAAAATTATTACCAACATAGAATATTTGGTAGAGGTTTTAAAAAATTCTCCAAACCTCTTTTAAGAAATGCACCCCTTCCCCTCTAGAAATTGGACATTATTAATACATACTTCTTTTGGTCTCCAGTGGCTTAATGACATCCATCAAATAAAAAGTAATGTAGTTTAATCGTTAAATGTTCTCATGAAAGTTTCATTTCCCTTGAAAATATTATAATCCTCATTTTTATTATGATTATTTCTCATTCCACTCACGATATATATTTGGAAATGATTACACGCAAAGAAAATATTTTTATGCTGAAGTCAAGTCGTGGAAACTCAGGATTAATCCTGATAAATCCCAAAAATCCTTAAAAAATCCCTAAACCATTTGTTGAATAACTTCGGGATTTGAAAGGGATTTCACATTTTCATGTTTATTGGCTCAGGGATTTTTTAGGATTAATCCTGAGTTTCCACGCCTTGGCTGAAGTGGATTAACCATAGCATCAAAGTGATACCAATTTATTCATACCGTACTGAATTAATTTCTTAGATAATCTTCATGCTAATCAATCAATAGAATATTCATGAAATAAATCCTTTTCTATACAATGTCAATAGCTTTTATACTGCACCAACTTGGGGACACTAACCTTATAATTCATTCTTTTGGATACAAAATTTCTAATCACTTTAATAACGTTCCTCGTCCCTGTTGTGTATTAATCAAACATTTTATTCCAATCAACTTTACATAACCTCAAATGACTCCAGCATAAAGGTATTCCCTTGAGTGTAAACAAAAAATTAAAAGAATGAATGAAACATTGCATGGCAGTTTAGTTGAATAGAAACAAATTTATGATATTTTGGTTCTCTCTCATTTTTTTATATTCACATATTTTACTGTTGAATTACACACCATTTAGTTTATTGAGTCAGTAGTCAAGTTACTTAATGGACTCTTTTCTCTGCCCACGGCCTTTCTCGGGAGGGGAATCGAGTCATACGAAAAAAAATGAGTAAATGTTCTGAATTTATACTTTTTATGTAAATAAAAGAAAGAGAAAAAAATCGATACTGATCGCAGCTATTTCTTTTGAAAAAATATTTCTATTGTGAATGTTAAGAGGGGCTTTATCTTGCGATGATTTTGTGCGAATTCTCGAATATTGTTGGAATCATTTAAGTGTCCAATCTATGTGCTACACTCTAAAGTATTCATAAACTTATACTATGACTTTAATGATCAACCTACGTACCCAGCTGCTAAGTTGAAAATGAATGAAAATCACACAAGGATTCAACTTGAAAACCTCACAAAATTTCCACAAGACCGCCCACAATAAAACAAAAAATTAATCTTTTCAACAAACTCTTGAAGCCAGATGATGATTTAAAGCGGAAATACTCGAGTGCATGCAAGCATTATTCAACAAGAAGAAGAAAGAAAATAATTAGAATCAAATAAATTTTCAAGAGATTGTAACAAAAGTCATGGGGAAAGTCCGTTGAGTGATGAAAAATGTGTGCGAGAGAAAGATTTGCGAATGTATACCAAGGTGAATCACCCGCATCGAATGCATATAAATAGATACACAATTTTAATATTCATTAAATCCACAGACTATGTTACATACAGTTATGTGTGTAAATATAAAGTCTCACATATTCGTCAATAATTAAATGTTTGAGGAATAAATGAATGAACGTGAAAATTTGCGTATTTAAATAATTGAACAACTAAAAATGAGAATCTCAAAGATCTTCATCATTGCACGATTTCGCGTTTGTTTTTTGTTCTGCAACAATTCCTCAAATATAAACATTTTAGATGCATCCAGAGCATTTAAAGCTGACTTATTTTGATAATATCATGCATACATTTGAAGTGTCAGTTTTTTTTGAGTTATGTAAATTTACGCAATGGAATAAGGAAAATGACATTAAATTGTAATTATCGACTGCGGAACATCAGAATGTAAATGCATTTAAAAACGAAGATAAAATATTTATTTGACCCAATTGCTCTCAGTTTCTCAGTCTTGATAGCATTTATTGTATAGATTGATCTTCCTCCCTTGCCTTTCCTTGTTTGAGGTTCAAAAAGGTTCTGGTTTTGCCCCTGGATGTAGACTGCATGTGACAGAACTAATTAAAGAATCCCATGACTTATAACCAAATTAAACTTGAAGAGAGCGACAAAAAACTAATAAAACCTTTTTGAAATCATCACACAGTGGAAGTCCATTGTTTTAAAGTTCAATATTTGATATTTTATGACATGCTTTAATTAATAAACATCAATAAGTGTTCGCACAGCAATTAAACATCTCACGCGTCGCAAACACATAAAAATTAAAAATATTTCAATGAAATTAAATTGTAGCAAATGGAATGATGAGTTATTAGCAATCATCGTGCCGTATATTTTTGCCAATATCACGTATTTCAGTTTATTGTAGCTTTGATGATGAATGTTTTTAGGTTAGACTTAGAATAAGAAGTCGTAGGAAAGTAAAAGATAAGCTTGAATTTATTGCGCATAAATTTTATCTTTGTAACCAGTAGTAATCGTTATAGGCTGTTCCATTAAGCGAGATTTGTACCATTTTATTAACAGTTAAGGAATGATAAAATGGACATAAAGTTATATGCTTTGTCAATTCATTAACCCAAACTGAAGCTTTACATTCAACTATTTAATAAAATTTGACACAATCCTAGAAATAGATTATGAATATTCGTATCAATAACAATGATATTTTATTATTATGATGAATCGACATCTTGTCCTTGACTTTCAGTCGCCAAGTCCATTTAAATCGTCACAATTACAAAACTACACACGCATCTATTCAAGCGAGATGATCAAGAAGTAAATTTCACCGCATGATATGTCAGTAAAATTATTGTCGGAAGAGAAACTACAGTTAGGATCTTGCATGGTGAGCCATGACTCTGTCTTTTATTTGTTATTGTTATTGTCAGATACTGACTAATAAGGAAATGAAAAGGGGATGACTGAGTGAATGATTATAAGTTTATGGAACAATAATAAGTATTTGCGAGAAATTTACTTCTGTTTGAATAGCAGATTTTTGAAGTTTCTGGAACGCCGTGAGGCAAATGAAAGCAGCGAGTTGGATAAGGAGGAGGATTGAATAGTTTAAAAGTGTAACGTTTTGCGACAGGTTCTATTTTGGCATGGAGAAAGGTCAAATTTGCTTTTTTGTAAAATAAAATAGAATTTTTGATGCAAAGTTTAACATTTTTTGGGGACGATCATTAATGACGTAATTTTCTAGACTTTGCCTCAATTACCTCCTAAAAAGCGCTACGTAATAAGTTCATAGCCTATTGGAATAATTTCAGACTGAGTCTAAAAATCATATTTTCTTGAAAAATAATTCTTTTGTATGAAAAATCATTCCCCAACGTCACAATGGCTGAATAACAGCGAATTTCATAAATGATTAATCTTAAACAGAAAAAGTTTCTGTTTGTTTTGCAGGAGTCATCTTAAAAACCACTTACATTATTCACATTCAACCCCTTTCACTCATTGAATCAACCAAAAAATATTTATCTGACAATCCATTGAAAATTAATGGACCTCAATTGGATTTAACATTTCAACCTTTAAAAATTCTCAAGTGTAAAATCATTTTCCATTGTGCATTTGGCACTTATAACATCACTTAATGTATGGCAATGGGTCATTCATCAAACTGATCCAATGGAGCATTTTCTTTCCATCCCAAAATCCCTCAGAAATCAGAAGGATTTATTTGATTAAGAAGGCAAAACAAATAAATATGTGAATTTGACATGACAAGCCCTTTGACTCACTTAAAAGTTCATTTTTTAAAAATAATATTTTTCTTCTCATCTTTCAACCATTTATATTCATTCATTCATTCAAGCTCTTTTTGTTTTAGCTCCCATAAGAAAATCCCTTTTATTTGACTATGAAAAACCTCAATTTCCTTTCTCTTTCTCTTCGTACCATTCATTCTTCATAATCCTGTCTATTTTTATAAAAAAAAATATGTTTTTTGTTGCCAAAAATTTTAAAGAGAATGCTGCTGCACTTGCTAGGGAGTAGGAAACGAGGCTTCGACGATAAAATACGATTTTCAAAGATCCGTTGAATTTTCAACAAGCTAAAATAAGTTACTTAACTCATTAAACACTCAAATCCAATTCTCATCATGCAGCAAATCAAGTCACTAAACAACAACGAAGTTTAATCAGAAATAAGTGCGTCTTGCACCCACATATTCCCTACATCATTCACTTTAATTTCAACTTTCATGGCATGAATGAATTGAGAAGAATGCCACAAAGCCTAAGGGATTTCTGTTGAGGATACGAAAAGCCAGTTATTTCTCATTCAGTTCTAATGTTCTCCCGAGATCAAGTTGTAAAATATCATCATATATGAGAAAAACAAACGAGAGTTAAGGCTTCATTGCAATTATATAGTTAAGCATGCTAGCCACTGACATTTATAATTGATAACATTTATTCGAGTATACTGGAAATTACATGTAGAAGTTTAGAATAGACACTGGTTTAATTTGAGATGAGGAATTGGGAATTAAGATGAAAAATTGCTCGCACAAGTGCTGTATTGTGAATTGGAGTTGGGCGGTGCAAATTAAGAGAATTGAAAATGGGGACTCTAGCAAAATTGTAGAATCTCATCAAATAATTGACTGGATGACCATGAACCCCTAAATATCAAGTGAGAAATCTTCAACAGCATTCAATTTATATCATAAGGAGACATCTCATCTCTTTAGACTAAATTTATGATATTAATAAAGTCAAAAAATACAGTCATAAAATGAACATTTAGAATATGGAAAGGATGAAAAAGTGCACGAGTATAATATAAAATATAGCAAATAAAGAAGCAAGAACAATGAAAGCAACTTACCACATCATCACTATAGTCAGTCAGTAATTTATTGTTATTGCTACGCTTGCCGGTCCTTTCATGTCTCGGATGAGATTCAATATTTATGACAAGAATGAAAAATATAAAAAATCTTATCGTCCGCACTCTTGGCTTCATTTCTATTTGTTTGAATTTTCTTTTAGATGAATGTTTATGTATATCCTTAGCTTATCTCTTACGAGACTATGTTGTGCAACTCAATTTTCCAACTAATTATCTATTTAACTAGCTTATCACTCTTTCGTATGTGCTTTTTGTTGCAAAAATAGTAAACGGTGGCAAAAGTTAATTAAAAATATTAATAATAAATTGCTGACGATGACCGATGAGGCACTTTTGTGTTTTTATTATTTTCTATTCTATCATTCAGCTCAAGCTATGCTTCTTCTTCTTTTTTGGATGGAAGAGTTTAAGAGTATTTTTGCGTGAGTCTCTTGCTTTATGAATTCATTTTTTTCCTTCGTTACTTTTTGAATCCGTTAAACGCTCACTGCATACATATAAACTAATTAAATTGGGAGAAAGAAATGGAAATAAAATATTAAGTAAGTAAAATAGTTTTTTGACGCATTTTTTTTGAAAATCTTAAGGGAAATACGTATACAATTGGAATTAATCAATATAATTCTTTCAAAAATCACAGCACATCCCAATGTAATTTTTTGAATCCCACTAGAAATTCATAAGATATTCAGCACCAAGTTGCATTAAATAGCATCCACCAAAATCTAGTAGTTCCTAGTAGCACCTACTAGCAACTTCAGTAAATAGAAGCTAATGAGATAATTCCTAATGAGACTCATAATATCATGCCAGGAAGTGCTGAAATTTTTTCGAACCTCTTTTTTGAATCAATCTTGAGTTCATACGACTTAAGGACAATTTATTCAGCAAGAAGCTACAAGTGTGTCTTCAACACAGATTCTTATCATCAAGTTCCCCAATAAATTCACAAACTTTCACCTCAGCCTAACCCATGTCCAAAAATAATGCTAATATTCATTTTCATTCAATTGTTTATTCTATACTCGATGGTAGATATAAAGTTACAAATTCACTAAGGGGAGTGTTCATTAATTATGTCATAGGTAAATTAGTTTATATCCTCCCATTTTATATTCTTACTTTGTTAAAACAACAATTTACGGACTGTGTCGTAATTGTCTCCCCTTAACATAATGTTTATTCACTGGGTGGACAATCCCTTTTCAATAGATGTAATGAGTGTGGTAATGGAAATTTGATGAAGTTGATTTTGAAATTCTAGAAGACGAATAATTTGAAATGTTTACGCATTTTTCCTGGATGTAAAATAAGAAGTTCTATGTTGGTCAACTCAGACCTAAATGAGTAATCGACAAACTCGATAGCGACTTCCGACAGTTAATGATTTTGATTATAATTTATGGAAAGTCATTGAAGGCGACATATCGGTTTACAGTCTTGACTTAAATACTTCTATTTTTGCACCTAACGAATTTTCTTCGCTATTGACTTATTTGGAAGTTGGACATGATGAAGATTATCGATTGTCATGGAAATTGAGAAGATTTTTGGTGTTGTAACTTTACATTTGGGTTTATAAAATTAGCTTACTATTAATATTTAACTTCAAGGGCTAAGACTCTAGCTAGATAAGTTGTAAATTGAAATATATCTACCGAATTGTATAAGTCATAACAATCCTCGTCAGTTCTCAGTAAAATGAAGTCTCATTGTTATTAAGAAATTTTTTTGTCGATCAAAATTTATTTTCATCATAAATCAAAAACGACACAGTCAGTAAGAAGAAGTCAAGTAAATTTCGTCAATTACTAAGACATCAAATGATGTAGCAAATTCTTCAGCATTTTAGCTAAATTAAATTAAAAGTTAAAAGCATTTCTAATTAAATTTTCTCATTTTCTTGATGGAGAATTTTTTTGTGCTTTGTAATTTTCACTTTCCATTGTTGAGAGGGGTGACTATAGACATAAAATTCAAATTTTTGTGGACACTTAAAATTGTAAAGTCACATTTCAATAATTTCATTTTATAACATAATCAATTTAGTTTCCTCCCATTTCCCACGTCCAAAGTGATTCTAGGCTTCATACTCACATTCATGTAACTTGAAAAGGCTTTTTGGTGTATAATTTTATTCAATTCTACTTATTATTATGTTATATCACAGAAAGTTATTCTTGAGCACATCAAAATTTTAAGGAGTGTCAACCAAAAGGTTTATTTCATGTGCTGATCACGTCAAAAGGTATCGCACCACGCACTTAATTTAAATTTTTCTATTTCACTAGTTTTTTTTCCCATCAACACACGACACATTTATTACAATTAATCATTTACATATGTGATACCACAATCTGCTTGCTGCTGCTGCTGCTTGTTGTTATGCTTATGCCTTCCGAAGATGGAAAGAGTCAAATGAAATCTTTAACAATGGAATTTATTCTGTCTGTTGTTTTATTTTATATTTTTTTTTCTTCTCTCTTTTTATATTCTCGTAATTGTGGCGCATGCCATAAAGCAGTGGAAATAAAAATGAGAAGGAAGGAAAAATAAAAATTTGCAGCAATGCAAAAAAAGGAAGAGTTTACACTTTGCAAAATTTATTAGCAGAAATGCAAACAATATATACACACAGTGGAAGAGCTATGATGATGATGATAATATGGCACATGAAGGGGTGGTGGTGGGGAGGTTTGGTTGTGTGTTAAACTATTCATAGCAAATGAGAAGATTTGAACTCAAACCACCTCGCAGAGTACAAATATAAAATAATTTTTGTGTGTGGTATGAGAGACGTCGAATCAATGGCGACAGGAATGATGACGATGATGAAACGTGCTCTTCCGCAAATTACAGTACTATACTTGAAAAATCTCTTCTTTCTCTCGACACTGTTTGTGACTCGCACTCTTCAATGTGATGTATCATATGGAAATTATCACGCTTTGCAGATTTTGCTGTTTTTTCTCCTCTGTTCTCTGTTCTTTCCTTTTTTTAACAAACACAATGCGGCTTAGATGAAGATATGCATGATACACACATGTCAGGGTGCTTCCGGTTGAATGTTTCACTGGATGAACATTTCTATAAGATCCTTATTGATTTATGCTCTTCACTTTTACAACTACTTCTTAATGTCTCAACAATAATGATTTTTTAAATGCTACTCAATAATTCCTTAATAGAATAAATTCTTGCAGACGATGCAGAAATTGAATGGGAATTGCTTTCAAGTGCAGGATTTTATTATTATGTACGGAGCAAGTGAAGAGAAGAATTTTTATTGAACGATTTTTTATAGTCTTGAAAGTGAATTCTTTCAGGCTTGAAAGTTGAAGCAAGGATTGTTATGCATTTGAAGATGAGGGAGCTTTAGCTTCTAAATCTTGCAAATCGTTGAGGTAGTTTTTTTTTGCGGACGATTTTATGTGTCGTGTGGGGAAAATTTTCTGAGGATGAACATTGTTTTTTTGTTTAGTTTAAGTTTATGTCTGTTTTGTGTGGGATTTGTTTTCCCATATATTTTGATTCTTCCTCTGTAGAATTTTTTGTGTGTGTTCTTGTAATTGTCCTAGATAGTTTTTCTAGTTTCTTATTTATGCAAATTTTAATGGTTTTTGTTTCTCGTGTAGCTTCGCATTTTTATAGGGGTTTTTCATTAAAACTTTCATATCTCTGAGAATATTCTCATGAGATGGAAGGATACAATTAGCAAGACAGTGTTGTAGTTGGAAATAAATTTGAGAGGTTCAATTGGAGTCGTTCACTCATGACATTCGAATTTAACTGTCATTTTTCAAAAAAGAACGATGGATTTTTGAGAAATTTCTATTGCTGAACCTCACTTCACCCTAATGGATGTCATAAATGAACGGCATCATTTTTGATTTTTAATAAAAATTAATACAGTTTTTAAAAATTTTAAGAGGGGGTCCTGAACCTCATTGACTCCCTTTACTAAGACTATTGAGTAAGCACAACTTTAATTTAGAAGTTCCAGTGCCCCTTAAGATTTTCAAAAAAATTTCAACTTTTTTAATAAAACAATTTTTAAATATTTTTATCATCAAACTTACATTTTTATCTTGGATTTCCTCTTCTTCGTTCTCTTTTGTTTGAATATTTCAAAAGAAAGAATCTTTCAGTATTTTTCTCTTACTCACAATGAAAGGCACTTGACTGTTCACTCACAACTGTTCCTCAGAACTCTGTTAATTTTTCATACTCAATATTCACTCAAAAAATAATTTTTTTTTCAACATTAAAAAAACTGAGCATAAAACATAAAACACATAAAAATTCTAACAAGACCCTTCACTAACCAGCATGCCGTAATTACTAATTTCTTATGGTTATGTTCTAAAATTACCAAAAATTATAAAACATCGAAGTGCAAACCGAGGAAAAATTTTTAAAAACTCCACGCAGAATTTTTTTATTTCTATTTTTAATTCTTCCCGTCTGAGTTTTTCCTCTTTTCACTTTCAATATAAATCAAAATAAAAAAAAAAATCAAGAACAAAATATTTTGCCGCTACACGTTCTTGTGCGTTTGAAATCAAAAAAGGAAATAAATCACAAAGCAAATTGATTGAACTATTTTATGCTATTTTTTTCACACACAAAATATTTTTTTTTTACTTTTTTTTTCTCATATAAAACAATAAATGATTTTCATCTAGTTTTGATTCAACAACATCAAAAAAATAATATAAAATAATATAGTCGCGAACGATTGAGCTGTGTGTCTCCCAACCGTGCGAACACTTCAAAATGCACTGAGTTACTATTCTTGCTCCCACAATAATATTGAGAATTCGTCGTCTATACTCTGCGTTTGTGTTTTTTTTTTCTTCGTTTTTTTCATTTTTTTCGATGTTGTTATACATCTCATGAGTATAACATACATATATATTCAATATGTGTATAAATGTATATACATTCTCGTTCATGGAGAAAGAAAAAAAAAGAAAAATAGTAGAAATACAGTTGAGACAACAAATTGAGCGAAATACTGGAAGTATGTGTTTTTTTTCCTCTCTCGCTCGCTCACTTTGCTCATGATTAAATTCAATTTATTTTCATTTCTAGCGCAGTTTCTTGCAATTGGTTCTTTGAATCAATTGTGGCTAGTGATGTGGATTGTCTTCGGGGGTTGTACGTTTGTACGTGGGTCCACAATGATTTAGCTATTAAATGGATTTATTTAAATATTAAGAATTGTCAAAATGTACATTAGGCCTGGTATAAAGCCATCTATAGGATATTCTACCAGTAAGATAGTAAGGACTCCGTGACCGATATGGTAAAATACCTTATATTTTTAATCATATTTTATGAAGATGTTGGCTCGATTCCCACCAGAAGCTGACCTCTGTGTCATTTTATGGAATTTTATTAATCTGACAAAGATTCATTTTGGTACCACACGAATCGAGCCCCTCCCCAAACTTTGAAAACTGCGCTCAATAAACTCAAATTAATTCAAATTTCCTTACTTATCCCTTCTTATTGTTTTCTATATTGATTAATTTTTTATTTTTATTTTCTATGTAATTAATTAGGGGTTGAATTGCGTGTGATATCGACTACTGCTGCTGTCACTCTGCTGGTGGCTTTAATTAAAAGAAATTGAATTTCCTTCTCCTCCTCCGTAACTTTCGCTCTCTATCGTTTGCTCAGTGTCGGTCAAATGAAATTATGGCCTTAAAAAAATTTATTATTGTTTCATTACTCCTCATCATGGACTTATTAAAGGGTTGATGTCAATCATGAGAATGGTTAATAGACTCCAACTCTATCATTAATCGAATTCTTTTCTATTTCTATTAGACAACAAATTGGGAAATGAAATTATCAATAATGGAAATAATAATTGCATTTTCGGATGTTGTGTTCATCAAATTCTACTGACTTGGTTACAGTGAATATGAGGCGTCATATTAATTATTAAAAAATAAATTGAAAATGAAAGGGCAGTGAAAATGCTAAACTTAAGTAATGAAGATTTTAATTTTTAACGAAGAAATGAAATTTAAATGCCATTCTCATGAAATGTAAACTTTTTGATGTTCAACACGCCTTGCGTGGTATTTTTCATATTAATCGTTTTCTGAACTTGTTATGTCTATTTGAAGAAGTCTTATGAATTTTTGATTAGTTTTCTATTTTGAGGTTATTTTTAATCGAATTTACTTTTCTTGTAAGAAAATATGTAATAGTTGTGTATGGAATTACGTGCTTAACAAATCTGTGGGATATTCTTTTAATATTTGGTTAATATTTTTCACAGTTTTTTGACAATCAAGTTCCATAACGCACCCCACCAGGGAAGTGGGCCCCTCAATCTGAGCTAAATTGGTTCATTCAACCAACGTGGATTTAAATTAATATTAAAACTTACTAAATTAATTCTCAGAATTTAAAATTATGTTGTCAATTGCACATCATAATTGACTCGACCCCTCCTGCTTCTTCTATCACAAAAACATTCCAAATTGTCAATTCTACCATCAATAAAATATAGTCAGTGTAATGAAATAATTTAATGAGTTCTTCAATAATTAATATGACCTTTATTTTTATCTATCAATTTGTGTCGTGTTCTAATGATAATTACAATGAAAGTTCGAATTTATACAAAGAATTAAAACATAATGGAACGGAATTAATTACAATTGGTGCGATGATGTTTATCAAGGGGTGCAGCAAGATATTTTTCCAGGGGGCTATTTTTTTTGTCAAATTGAACCAATTTCAATTAAGTGGCTCAAAACCTAGTTTTGTAACCTCACCTTACTTAAGGATTGAAAATCAATGCAGTAAAGCTTACGAGTAAGACGGAAGATCTCTTGGATTGGATGTGTTGAAAAGGACGCTATAGTCCTTAATATCCCGATCTGGCAGAAGGTTTCTAAGGATAGAGGTGTCTTTAGACAATCTCTAAGCGCAGCAATGGGCCCACGTGCGCCCCAACCAAGGAAGTAGGTAAGTAAAGCTTAGATTATTAAATAAACTTTACTGTGAAAAAAGCAATTGCTTAAGATCAAAAACCTAACCTTAGCTTCAACCCTGTCTTCGTCCTTTTTACATTCAGTTGAATTTATTTCCATTTTTTGACTGGATAAGTTTAGCAATTAAAGGTACGAAGTGAACATTTTTACATTTTTATAGGTTGTAATGAAGGTGTGGGAATCGATAATGTTGTTTAATTTGAAACTATGTGTAATGAGGTACATGACTTGAATTAAGTTGCTAAGTTACTGGATTTAATTATATCTTATACAAAACTTTGTCTGTAAAACTTCTCAATGTATAGTAAGATTTTACTGTCTTATGTAAAGAAACTTTTCGCATCGAATAAGCCGCGTTCATCATCAATACGAACAAATATCATATCTATATCGCATGTATATTGGATGTTATGATTCATTCAAAGTTTTTTTTTTGTTTTTGGAATATCTCAGACATAAAAATGTAAAAGAGAGTCTCTGTTTGCATGTATGCTGAAGATATATTGTTGGATGTTTTTGTTCTGTGAATAGATGAGTGTACGGACTATCAATATATGAGACTTTTTATTGCTTTGTCTTTCATTCCACTCTGTTTTATTTCTTCCTTTCTTTTATTAACATGTTCAACTTTTTTTTTGCGCCCCTCACAAGGGAGGTTGAGGAAACACTTAAAATGTTTTTGGGGGAGATTGAGACATTTCAGCATGTATGGAAAATTTTTATGATTTCCCATATTTACAGCACAAACATTCGTTAAAATAATGAATTTTTTTTCACTGCTGTTGCTGTCCGTCTCCTCTTCTTTTTATGCTGATGGGTGTCTTGTCGCTCTAATGTTGATGTTTGCGTAAATGATGTGCATCTTTTGTGTATCGAACAAACATTCAACACTCATCTAAATATTCATTTGTGCCGATTTTCTTCGTTTCTTCTTCGTCTTAGTCTTTTTTGTATGATTTAATGGTTCCGTCGCTAGTTTCACTTTCAGTGCGATGCGATGGGTGGATATTTATTATTTTCGGGCAAAAACATCTCATGATGGATTTATGAGTCAATTCTGATGGTAATTTAATGCCTCAAAAATGTCTTACAACTATGGAAGATGTTTTGATTAACATTTGTAGATTTATTTAATTTTAAATCAGTTGCATGGCTGGTTGGTCTATATTAGTTGATGTCAATCGTGTAGCCAAGGAGGTTTTGGGATCAAAAGGAAGTTTATAGAGACGCCATCACAAATCTATGACATTATAAACCCCAATTTAGGGTGAAATAAAATTCCTTAATAGAATAATAGCCGCATTTCCACAATCATGAACACCAACGCAATTTTTGTTACCAACCACAATTCATTTTCAGGGGGGAGCTGAATTAATGGCATAATATTGTGAATTGATAGAAATTTGATATTTTTCTATGTTTTCGTTTGTGTATTATTCATTTACATTATTTAAATATAGCAAAAGGATCATCAATCACCTTCAATATCGAAATGGATATCAAGGATATATCATCAATATAATATTGAATAAATATCAATAAAGATCTTGTTAGTCTTTCTTTCATTACTGCCTTCTTATTCGATTCTATTCAGTGGAGGACGACGAAATGAGAGATAAATAAAATTCTCAGATTACAAATAATGACTTAATGGAGGAGAAAAGTGGGTTGAGAAATGCCAACAATATTTTTTTTCGGTCGTTTAAATTCGTCTTGCTATCGTTGACATTAATCTTAAAATTACACAACAATCAATTACGACAACAAGGACCACAGAAATGATGGAAAATGTTTTTTTTCCATGGATAATGTCTATGCTGATAAAAAATGGAAAACAATACTGAGTCAATGAACACGCAAAGCCATAAAAATATGTCATTTTGAAGCCATATTATGGACATTCTCAAATGACTTGGTAACTGTATTCGGAGAGTTAAGGGCTTCGTAACTTTTTATTTCCTTTTCATAAAACTTCAAGAAATTTGGAACGAGTTATAATGACAAAGCAAACTTTAAAGCTACCACAAAAGAATGACGTCAAGGATCGTTTACATCTTGGTGCCATTCAGCTGCTTTTGCTGTTATTATCGAATATTTTCTGATATAATCTACAAGATTCATAATGTTTTGCGTCATACAGAACTGAAAAATGCGCCATAACATCATCTCATCCTCATTTAATTTACCACAACGTCTACTGTCTCCGTCGACAAACTCTTGTTTATTTTTTAAATATTTACAAAGGAGCTCTAAACGTTTATGACTAAGTAGGGGTTGGTGAGCGTGAGTGTATGTATGCAATGATGGAAATCATAGAAGTGATAAGCATCTATCACTTTTACATTAAGTATGCATGTATGGATGTAGTCATTATTATTGTTATGAGGAAACACTATAGGGATAAAAAAAATTTTACTAACATAAATTAGATTTTTTCCTAACTTTCATGCGCAAGCGTTTGTCAAGTTTTGTGTGCAGAAAAATATAATAATGCAGGATATGACATTAGTCCAGCTGCAGAAGGATAAAATGCAGTTTATTGGAAAAATGCAGATGAGATTATCAAGACTTTGTGGATGAATGAATTGGAACTTATCTAATGATATCAATTTTGGGAGTCATTCACTTACTATGTTTGCTTTTTTGGTTTCAACATTTTTAGAGCAGATCTAAATTATATGAGGCAAGGGAGTAGAGTGTGCACTTTAAAACGGAATTAGTGAATGGTCCCTTTACAGATCTTTGCCAAAACATTCAAT